ATTGTATTTTCATTCTTGCTAACACAGTATTTTTAAAAACACCAAAAAAACCCCCCCCAAAAACCGTCCTCCTTCTTTCCAAGCGTCAAAATAGAGCTGTTTCGATTATCTTATGTGAAAAATCTGATCCGTTCGTGGCTTGTTCCGCGCTAAACGAATCGGGTATTGTCCAACTGGTTTAAATTATGAAAACTCTGACAAGGATGACCTTCACCAAACCATTACATTCAACCAGCAAAATCGTGATAAAAATATACTATTATGTTTCCTCTTCAGAGTCACATGACGGTATCTGTGGTTAAAAAAAATAATAACAATGAATTTTATAAAGCGAATCGGGGTTCCAGTAAAGACTCGCGGTCTTATATTCATGGTTATGTTGTTTTTAAGAGGCAAGAAACAGGTCAAAACAATCATTACATTATATAACTCAAAAATATATAGAATACACTTGACAGCCTCTTGTCCTAGGCCACCCACCCTCCTCTTAGAACGTGGTTTGACAAGTAGTAAAGATCACTGGCGCACTGAATACCCGAAGCTTCAAGCAAATACATCGCCAAGAGAGCGCTGAGCTGTACAGGGAATATAGGGTTGAATATTGTGCCTGTACAAAGAGCTCTGACAAAGTGATGAAGAGGAGGAATGCAAATCTGATGTGTATTAAACTTGGATTACCCGGATCGGGTTCTAGCTAACAATGCTCAGCATCTAATTTGCATAGCTGGTCTCATTGTGGTTCCTTTACCCCCACTCTTGAAGCAAGCGGGGGCCTTTCATAGTTCCTTGCATGCACCCAAAAGTTTTCACGCAAAAGCTGCTCTAATCTCGCCCACGTGCACGCGCTTAGCAAATTCTAGCTACGGGTCTTGACTTTGCACTAGAGCTAGAGTCGCCGCCATTGTTGCTCGCACCACCATACTTTAATATCTCGCTGCATCTGTGCTTCCAGGGTGATAAATTACATTTAACGGTATCTTTTCCTCACCCTACGTTTGATTCGCAAAAGGAATTCCGGTATCTTGTAGATCAACGCTCGATTTCATAGCCCTCCGAGAGTCCAGTGGTGTTTACTCAAGTTGCCCTGCTCTGTTATCTTACCCAATAATTATCGCCTTTTAATCCCCTTCCACCCAGTGGTGAGGGCACGTTCAAAAAGATACCATGGCGCACTCCCCTCATGTGTTGTGAATCTTCACACTATTTAAATTATGTTTTAGATACAAAGTGAGCGACCAGTCAAGCGTGGGACAGTTTTTCATCGCACAAAAATGTTAAAAGTCAAGATATTATATTTTGAGAGCCCCTAAGAGCCCAAGTCAGTATCCTGGACCGAAGATTTGTGTCATTGTCTCGAGGTTGCAGAGGGGTTAACTCCTTTCAATTCTTTTTTTGTCTGCACCACCATTAATTACGTAAAGACTGCTAAGACAAAACGCGGCAGCTGGAGATCTTTCTTTTTTCACCTTAATTAACTGGAAATACAAGAACCAGCAAATGAAAAATGCGTTTTGAAAACTATAAGTCATGTTGTTATTACATCGTGATTGCATTTTGACCTTCTTTGATTCCAAACGAATTGATGTCTCTCCTTCGGAGCCTATCAAGGAGGTCAAGATCTGAAGAGAGGGAAAGTACTTGGGCAATCTACTTCCACTTTGTCTACCACCCAGGCAAAGCTGTATCATTAAACTGCTTTACAACTGTCTGTCTAAACACGGAAAGCCATCAATTGCATCGGATGCCTGTCGTTGATAACTTAAAATAAAAGTAGGGTCTATAAGAAAAGAACCATACAACTGCTGAATATTTTTACATCACTTCTTGCTGAGTGATAGTGCAAAATTCTGTTCATATCCAATAAATAATTAAATAACTAATAACTTAAATTCTACAGGACAGTTTGCATTTGATAATTAAAACGTGTCGACAACAACGTATTGATTTTAAGATATGGATTTAACTATAACTTCAGACATTTCGAG